AGAGAGAGAGAGAGAGAGAGAGAGAGAGAGAGAGAGAGAGAGAGAGAATATGAATGGGCAGGAGCCAGGCATGATGGTTCACATTTGAAATCTAGCATCTAGCACTCTAGCACTTGGGAAGCCGAGGCAGGAGAATTATGAGTTCAAAACCAGCCTGGACTACAAAACAAGGTTATCTTACAAAAAGAAGGAAAGGCCAGGCAGTGGTGGCGTACACCTTTAGTCCCAGCACTTGAGAGGCAGAGGCAGGCGGATTTCTGAGTTCGAGGCCAGCCTGGTCTACAGAGTGAGTTCCAGGACAGCCAGGGCTACACAGAGAAACTCCATCTTGAAAAACAAACAAACAAACAAAAGAACAAAAAGACGGAAAGAAGGAAGGAAGAAAAGAAGGGAGGGAGGGAAGGAGGGCGGGAGAAGCCATTGGTGAAGAACTCTTACTAATCAAGCCAGGCAACCTGAGGCAATGGTCGCCCTTCCCTCCCTCCCTGGGAGCTGAAAACTGGCTGTTCACAGGACAACCTGGACTGTCTGTTGGCCAAGCTGAGGGCAGTGAAACCTCACTGGGATGCAGCCATGCTGAGACTCCACACCAGACACAAGGAGCAGCTACGGCAATTTGGTCTCAACCCCCTGGATCTTTGAGGCCACTGGCCCGTAACCCCTAAGGCCAATCAATAAAGCAACTTTATGTAGAATTCAATAGAACTGTGTGGATTGTGGCCTTTGGCAGTGAGGACATCTATGTTCTGGGTTGACCCATTGTCCTAAACACTGAGTGGTAAGAAAGAGACAATGTTCTAAACCCTTTCTTATAGAAACTAGACCCCATTCCCTTAAGCCTAGATCACCTTTGGTCCCTTTAAACTACCTTGGCTTAAATGGGTATGGTGGCACATGCCTTTAGTCCCCACACTTGGGAGGCAGAGGCAGGTGAATCTCTGAGTTTAAGACCAGCCTGGTCTACAAAGCGAGTTGTAGGACAGCCAAGGCTATGCAGAGAAACCCTGTCTTGACAAAACAAAACAAAACAATCTTGGTTTTTCCTGACCAATAAAACATAAAGCCATGTGTGTGTGTGTGTGTGTGCATATGCATACATTTATTTATTTATTTATTTATTTATTTATTTATTTATTTATTTGGACTGTAGCATATTTATACTAAAGTGCTCATATAGAGGTCAGAAGACGACTTCCAGGAGCTGGCTTCTACCGTGTGGTTCTGGTGAGTGAGCTCAGGCTGTCAAGCTTAGAACAACACCTTTACCTTCTGAACCATCTCACTGGCCAACTGGGAAGGGCTGTAACAGGACATTACAGTAGCCAAGAACCAGCTCCCAAGATTCTAAGGTATCCAGTAGAAGGAACATACGGCTCAAATCCTTCTGCCACATGACAAGAGTCACACGGAACCCATGTTCTCAATGGCTTCAATCCTAAGGGCTCCACAGTATTGTCTTCTTGAGCAGAACTTCATCTTTGGGGCACAGCTCCCCAAAACTTCCATATAACATCCTCTGGAGACTCAGGCTCCCTCATGAGTTCGCCTTGGAGAAGGTCCCCGGCAGTCCTGTGATCAGTGGTGTCTGAATTCTCCAGCTCCCACTTCCAACTTAGAGAGACTGTTCCTGGCTCCCTCCACCTCAGGGTGCAGAGCAAGAGCAGGAGGACCACTAGGCAAGTCTATGCCAGTAAGTCTATGCCAAGCAGGGTTCTCCTATAGCAACTCGGAAGCCAGAGTCCAGTCCTACACACAGAGAGAAGAGAAGTCAGTCTGGGACCAGAAGAGTTCATTTTCCTGTCTCAACATGGTTAGGAATAGGACCCTGTCCACAGATCCTCTGTCCCCACCTCCTGTGACCAACAGTTCCTTCCTGCACATCCCACACAGCTACCCACTAGCCCCCCTCTCTGCCCTTCTCATAATTCCATTTGTCTCTTTAACTTCACCTCTCCAGACTCTGAGGAAAACCAGGCTTCTAAGCCCTGTGGATTCCTAGCTGCCAGCTTCAGGCAGAGGGGTGGCTCGGCTTCAGCCAGCTCCTGAAGTCTATCCAGGTCAATGTCTCCACCCACAGGATATCCGTTCACCTCCAAAATCTTATCTCCCATTTGTAGCCCTGCCCGGGCAGCTGAGCCTCCTGGGGTCACCTGGAAGTGTAGAGGGAGACACAGAAGTGTTGGTCAGGTGTTCTAAGGCTGGGCAGATTGCGGGGTGGGGGGGCAGAGAAAGGTAGGTGGTGAATGATGGGTAGATTTCAAAGCACATGATGATGCATCAGTCACCTGGGAGATGAAAAGACAAGGCCCACTGGCCACATAGCAGAGTCTGAATCCATAGCCACCTCCAGGCCCAGGGTACAAGAAGCATTGGCGGGAGCCAGCAAGGCCAGAAGGCTCAACTGTGTCTTCTTCGACTGGAAGATCCTTGGTTGCTGCCAGAGGAGGGGCAGCAATCTCGGTGTTCTCCAAGAAGAGGAGGGGAGATAGGCGTACCTGGGGGTTACGGGGAGAGAACCTGTGGCACCTGAGCCCTGCTCCATTCATGCCCTCTCCCCCCAACCGTGTCACCTACACGTACCATGCTGAAGAAGCGGTCAGCCTCAGGATCGACAACAATGAGGGAGACACAAGATCCCTGCGCTCGGATCCGAGACACTGTTTCCTCATGGCCCAGCCCGTCCACGCTTTCCCCAGCCACAGCCACCAGGCGGTCTCCAGCCTTCATCCCGGCCTTGTCAGCTGGCAGTCCTGGATCCACCTCCCACAAGAACTGCCCTGGGACATAGACATCTTCACTGCTCTCCCCCGACTCACGCCCATGCTCTCCCAGGAACTAACCCCATAGGACGTGGGAGGATGCCATTGGGGGCTGTGGGCACCTCTCATGGACACTGAGAAGTATACAATTGAATGTGTACGATCAGCCTAACGTCCAGTTTCCCACCCACCTCCAGAGCTGCCACTCACCAAGTCGACCGTCCAGGCCCTTTTCCTCCCGGAGCAGGAACCCAAAGCCTTGAGGCCCTTTCTCTATGTTTAGACACCGGGGCTTGGCGGGCAATGCCCAGCCTTCTGCCAGGGGTGCAGCAAGAGGCATTCCTAGTTGGTGACACTGTTCCTCTACCTCCGGCCCTGCCACCAGCAGAGTCACCCGATCTCCACTCTGACAAAGCTGTGAGGACAGAGAAAGACTGTAAGCACGGGCCATGTGTGTGGGACAGAAAGGGACGTATCTCCTCAGCCTCTCCTCCGGCGTACCTGGAATGAGGGCAAGCCTCATGTAAACTATAGGGAAAAGGAGAGGGGGTGACACAGAACTGACCCTCAGGTCAGGAGGGAGAGCTCTCTGCAGGAAGCCCTACCTTCCTATTGAGCTGGTTGTAAGTCAACTTCTCCACGCTGACTCCATTCACTTCTAGCAGCCTGGCCCCAGGGGGCACCCCTGCCCTCTCAGCAGCTCCTCCTGCACTGAGCACCAACCAGAAAGGACCCCGAGCTCCTAAAGGCAAAAAAAAAAAAAAAAAAGTAAGTCCAGCCGGCTGCCTGCCTGGAACAGAAGCTGAGCTCCGCTCCCAAACCCTGTCCTCCCACGGCTGGCCCTAAGCTCACCGTGGGTGACGCTGAAGCCAAAGCCACCTTCATCTTTTACGACATGGCACAACCGGGGCCTGACCCCCGAGACTAGGGTAGGACAGAGGAAAGCATCGCTCTCCCGCTGAGCACGTGCCACATCGTGAACGTTTTGTGCCAAGACCGTCAGCAAAACCCGGGGACCGCTGGCCCGGATGTAGCGCACTACCTAGAAAAAGGGCACACAGGAAAGAAAGGTTGGCCCTCTGAAATCCCAGGATCCCTTAGAACGTGCGTCTTCACTGTAAAAACCACGTCTGTAGATGCCTTCACCCAATCCTTCTACCTAGGTACCTCCAAATCGTGGGGTCTGAGGAAAGTGAGGCTTGGCCCGTGCAGTGCCCGGCAAGCGCCAGGCTGTGCCTCCCTGGAGTGCTATGGAATGTTCTTTTGTACCACAAGGAGTCCCAACCCAGCCTCACCACCGCATAGTCCTCGTGTGCCACGAGAATATTGTTCACTGCTAGGATCCGATCTCCTTCCCGGAGACCCTGGCGCTGGGCAGAGGTGCCTGGATCCACCCTACACACCACATGGTCAGCCTTGCCGAGCTGCTGCTGCAGATGGAACCCAAAACTCTTTTCCTCCTCCTTGCTCAACAGACAGAAGCGAGGCCGGTGCAGGTTCCAGGGATCTGGAGGAGGAGGCAGGTAGCAAAAAAAAAGAAGAAGGAGGGGGACACAGGCCCGGCACAGGAGCATCAAATGACTGGTAGTCCCAGCTTCCTGTCAGAGCGCTGGTCAGCCAGTGAGAGGGTGGGCTTTATAGCTGAATGAACTCTGTGTGGGTTGGGCGGCTAAAGCAAAGAGGTGTCTGCCTCCTCTACCTCTGCTTAGTTACTGGTATCAGAGGGAGACAGCAGTTACCAAGGAGATAGGAGGCTGTGCGGCACTGTAGTGTCTCTAGGGAAAGGAAACAGTTGCCAGGGGTGAGGGGATTACCAGATTGGTCTTCAGCCAGGGAGAGGACAGGATTGTCAATGCCCAACCTTGGATTAAACTTAAACTTCCTGTAAGGAGGCAGCAGAAGGCAAATAAGAGGAGCTCGTAGCTGGACTCCAGTCCCAAGTTCTACTTTAGGTGCTGATGCCAGCTGAGAGTCCCCCCCACCTCCAGTTCTTCTTCTCCAGCCCTCAGACAACTTACAGAGTTAACAAGGCTGTGTCCCGAAGATCTGTGGACAAAGGAGGGTGAGAGTAGAGATACACTCCCCCCAGAGACAGGACTTTCTTACTTTTGTTTTGTTTTGTTTTGTTTGTTTTTTGTTTTTCTAGACAGAGTTTCTCTGTATAGCCCTGGCTGTCCTGGAACTCACTCTGTAGACCAGGCTGGCCTCGAACTCAGAAATCTGCCTGCCTCTGCCTCCCAAGTGCTGGGACTAAAGGTGTGCGCCACCACTGCCCAGCAGAGACAGGGCTTTCATGATAAAAAAAAAAGGGGGGGGGGCTTAGGTGTAACCCAGCCCCTTTACACACACACACACACACACACACACACACACACACATACACACACACAGGGGTGTTGACTCTCCCCCAGTTCTGTGGCACATAAATCTGAGCCTATCAGCAGAGGGTGTGGACCAGGAAGACAGATCTATAAGCCCACCTCATTCCTTTTTCTGTTTGCCTCGGGACTCCAAGTCCAGATAGCAAGTGTGTTCTAGACCCAAAGATTCCAAATCTGCCCCCTCTGCCACCACCTCAAAGTCCCCTTCCGAGGATATCTCCCCACTTCCTACCTGCAGCTGCCTCCATAGTTGGATCACTGACCCAGGACTTAAGAGTAGGGACAAGGTTCATTATAACCAGCTGACCCTCCCGCCTGCCCCCTCCCGAGTCACGCCTTCTTGAAGACGCCGCAAGGAAGCATTGGGGTAATGGTTAACAGCAAAGTATTCTCTGCAAAGTGCAAGTATAGGTTCCTCCTGTCACCAGCCTTGCGCCCTACCGTTCTCTTGAGATCCATATGCTCTCAGGTGGTGGTGGCGCACGCCTTTAATCCCAGCACTTGGGAGGCAGAGGCAGGTGGATTTCTGAGTTCAAGGCCAGCCTGGTCTACAGAGTGAGTTCCAGGACAGCCCAGGCTATACAGAGAAACCCTGTCTCGAAAAACCAAAAAAAAAAAAAAGACCCAGATGCTCTTACAACAAAAAGCAGATCGCTGTCATCTCAAGCTGAGGGCAGTAGGTATGAGAAGGGTTAGAGGAATTCAAAGGTCCTGCATGAACAGCCTCATCCCAGGAGCTCACACACAGGCCTTCCAGCAACAAAGTTATCTAAAGAGACTTGAGCCTCTCCCTTTGCTTATCAGACTATCCAAACAATGGATCTCAAAGAATTGGAATTTCTTCAGGAATCTTAAACTGGGGAAGAGAAAAGAAGAAGCCCCGATGCCAGCCAGAACTTGTCTCCCAAGAAGAGGAGTCATGAAGTTTGGACAATTTATCAGACCGCTGAGCTGGATGGACTGGAACTGAGTCCTGACGGGGACTACTCAGCACACTAAATCCCAGGGGTGGACCCTGAAAGATGAGCTTTGGAGTTGGGATTGTCACCAGACCTATTTGTTTGTTCCTCTTCCCAGGGTGGACACCTCAGACAAATCTCCTTTCTCTGCTTTCCGAAGCTTTAATTTTGTTCATTTATTTGTGTTTGTGTGTGTGTGTCCATGTGTTTGCGTGCATTTGTGAATGAGAAAATGAGGAGGAGAAGGAAAGACAGAGAGAGAGAGAGAGAGGTGCAGAAGATGCAGTTGCTCCATAGAGGCCATGAGGGTGTTAGATCTCCCCCCACCCATTCCCCCACCCCACCCCACCCCACTCCACTCCCACCATCATGTGGTTGCTGAGAATTCAATTCCTGTCCTCTGGAAGAGCAAGGAGTATCTGAACCTGCTGAACCATCTCTCCAGCCCTTCTCTGACTTTTCACTATTCTCTTTTTTTAAAAAAAAAAAACAAAACAAAACAAAACAAACAAACAAAAAAAACCAGCTTACTGAGGATGAGAGGCAGAGTTCAGCTTGATGGGGGGGGGGGGAACACCAGTGCCCAGGCATTGACACTAAAAACTCCACCAACACAACACTACTGCCTCTGCATCTGGTGGCCAGGGGCATCTGCAGTAGAAGGTAAACCAAACTAACCCTTTCTCGGAAGCACCAGACAAGGAAGTGGAGACCACAGGGGGTGGAAGACACCCAGCTTTTTAATAGCAGCAAGGTGGGTCACACTTGTCCCTGGTGGCATTGGAGCCATTGATAGCTGTGCATTTGAGAGACATGAGGCTGGGAAAAGCACCAGTGTGAGGGTATTTTGTGTCCAGAGGTGAGTGTTAAGGCAGGATGGGGCACAGTCCAGTACATCTGCTGGCTAGCAGAACCCCCAACATGGCAAACACAATCAGAGAAGGAAGAGGCAAGACTGGTGGTGGAGTCACAGGGCAATTTGGCCACTGACGTGTCATATCCTTAGTCCTTCTAGGCAAAGGGAGAGGTAACATGTTCCATATACAAGTCCAACATCAATTCACTGCATTTGACCTTGGGAACTCTAGGCTGGACTTGTTGGGAGGTTGGGGGCAGCACAGTTTTACCCATTGCTTTGACTGGGCAGAACTGAAGGGATCTTTCTGGAAGGAGTTGTACAAGCCAGGAAGCCACAGAGGGAGCCAGTGGTCTCACAGCTCTGTCACAGCTGTCACTGTCTCAGTGTCCAGAGCCTCCCAGCTGCTCCAGGAGAGTCTTGACCTCGCTCTCCACCCGCAGAAGCTGAGCCTTGCGCCAAGGATTAAGGGTGGCACCTCGGCTATCTTCCAGATCACGGAGCAGCAGCTTGAGATGTCTCTGGACCCGGACCGGGTCCCAGCTGTTGAGGTTACGCTGGACTTCACTAAGGATCACTGACCAGTACTCGGACACCGCTGTCCCCTCTGTCAGTGAGGCTACAACCCGGGCACCACCTTCGCCAGAGCTACCCAGATCCCGCAGGACCTGGCGGCCCTCTGAACTCAGTTCATTGAAGTAGAGGCTAGAGGAGAAAAAGATGGAAGGATGATGTCATTCATCAGGGTTTTGAGAAGAAAGGCCCAAGATGGATGGGCGGAGAGTCAGGGAGCCTTATCATTCATTCCCTTCAGGCTGTCAATGGTAGGGGGGCAAGCGTGTGTGTAATAAGGTCTGAGGATAAGGCTCAGGTGGTAGAGTACTTCACATGCACAGAGCCCTGGGTTCACACCCTAGCATCATGAAAAGAATCTGCAATAAGCCAGAGGCAGAGACAGAAGCAAATGGAAACATTTGGTGTGACCAGAGACAGTATAGTCCCCAGGAGAAATGGTAGCAGAGTGAGGGACAGTCACAGAGGACTTGGGTTAGCTCAGCACTCAGCAAACCAGGATCAGAAAGGGAACACAGACAGTAGGTTCACAGCACCCCACGTTGGGAAGAACATAGTAAAGAGAGGCAACAGGTGGGGTTGGGGCCTGGGCCATGAGACCAGCACCCGGACTTACTGCAGCAGCTCCAGGGAAGGGTGCTCCCGGGCAGCCTTAGCCAAAGCTAGAGCCACTGTGTCGCCAGCACCATTGTAGGCCACGTTCAGTTCCTGCAGTTGTTTGTTTCGGTCCAGCTGGGCAGCCAGCAGCTCCAGTCCCTCATCTCCAAGGTCGGTGTGTAGCAGGGACAGGTGTGTCACCGAAGTGTTTCCTGCCAGCCCGTCCATCAGCAGTCCCACCCCGGCTGCTGTCAGTGGGTTGTTGGACAGCCTGAGGAGCACAGGCAAGGCAAGGTTAGGGGTTGGGGCATTGTGGATACCCAAGCTGGGTGTTAGGATGTTGGCCAAAGGGGGCACATCTGGGTTGGAGGCACACAAAAAAGGGACCCAGGCAAAGGGACAGTGAAATGAGAATCTGCTCCTGTCCAGGAAGGAGAATGGGGGCTGGGGGTGGGGGCTGCGGAAAGCAGGTTGCCTCTCTCCCTCCTTTCTATTTCTCTAGCTTCCTGACCCTCCCTTACCCCATCCCCTTACTCTTCTGTTCGGATTATTCCTCTTACACCTTCCTTTACAGCCTCCCCGGCCTTTGATCTTTGATCCTCCCTCCTCTCTGGTCCTCCCTCCTCTCTGGTCCTCCCTCCTCTCTGATCCTCCCTCCTCTTTGATCCTCCCTCCTCTCTGATCCCATCTTTCGACTGTCACACTCCCCCTACACCCACTTTTCATTAAAAAAAAACAGAACATTTACTTATTCTGTGCATGTGTGTCTGTGGGAATGAAGTAGGGGGAGGGGCTGGGGAGGTCAGAGGACACTTGTGGGAACTGGTTCTTTCCTTCCAACCAATATGTGAGTCCTGGGGATTAAACTCAGTTTTTCAGCCTTGGCCCCAGCCACTTTCACCTTCTAAGCCATCTCACCAAGGGTTCCCTCCCCCTTCAGCCCCCTTTCTTCTTCCTCATTCATCTCTCCTGGTTCTCATTAGAAACAGGAGCCCCCAGGCATCTGGGTTCCTAGGAGATCAGCCAACACCTTGGGAGCAAGTAGAAAGTACTCAGCATTATGGTGAGTCTGCAGGGATAAGGGATTCTGTTGCCAGGCAACTGGCCCAGGAATTACTGCAGGCTTCCTGTCCCCCAGGCTGATATTAGCCAGGAGAAAGGCTTTCTTAGCACCCACTCTGGGTGTCTTCCTTGATCCTTTATATTTATTTATGTTTGTTTGTTTGTTTGTTTGTTTGTTTGAGACAGAGTTTCTTGTGTAGTCCTGGCTATCCTGAAACTTGCTTTATAGACCAGGGTAGCTTTGAACTTAGAGATCTGCTTCTCTGTGCCTCCCTAGTGCTGGGGTTAAGGTTGTGTGCCACCATCTTACTCCTTTCAGATGCTTGTAATGGACCTGGACAGGGAGCCAGCCAGGGCCTAGATAACCTCTTTACTGGAGCCAGGGCAGCCTCAGTTCTCACCACGTCTGAGGCCATCGGAGGAGGCAGAGCCTCCCCCACCAGACCCCTGTTATATAGGCCACTCACCGAAGAGTGGTGATCTGGCATTGGTCATGTAGCAGCAGGTCTCGGAGGTCTCTGCAGGCCTCAGGGCCGAGATTGTTGAGTTGCAACCTGAAGCAGAAGGTAGCCAGAGAGAGAAGGCAAGAGACCAAGAAAGCAGGTCAGCATGGGGTCTTCCCATGGAGTGTGCCTCCTCCTCACCAGCCTGCTTCCTGCCATCCACACACTGCTTGCCCCCTGTTGCTCAAGTCACCTCAGCCCAGGCCTCCTCCATCTCGCCCTGCTGTGGTCTGCTGTGTCAAGGGACATGGGGTGGAGGTTTGCAGTTGTACTGCGGGAAGGGAGAGCCTTTGAGAGAGGAAGCCTGCTTTGAGGATCAAGTAGAGTAGAGATCTACACTTAGCATTAACTAGACTTGGAGGGCTTTGGTTCCCGATACAGAGGGTTATGGTAGAGCAAGGCCTCTCTGTGCCTTCAGGGCCTTCTCCACACACCGCTGTCGCCTCCTCTGCTCGTCTGCCTGCCGTGTTGCAGTGCAGCCTCAGAGAGCTTTACCAGAAGACGAACCCATGCATAGCCTTCTAGCTTCCAAAACTGTAAACTCCTCTCCCCACTTCTTTTTTCTTGAGTCAAGATCTTATGTAGCCCAGGCTGGCCCAGAATTCACCGTGTAGTTCATGTTGGACTCAAACTCACAGCACAACTCTTGCCTGTTTTTTGAATGCTGGGACTACAGGCCTGCGTTGTTTGGCAGACCT